GTACTGCCGTTTTCAGAGCAAGTTGCAATCATACTGGAAAGCAGGATGCCTTGGGCATACTTACAACAACCTCCCACAATCGATCTGCCTCTAACTGCAGTCATTGTTATAAATCTGCTTTTTGAAAATACGGTTTTGAGATTCTGATTAGTTGGGTTGTTTTTATAGAAGCAGAAAACAAGCCTAACGTGAATCTACCGAAAGATTATTTAAAAAAAATTTTTTTTTGCAGGCAAAGGCATTAATGCCATAAAATAGTTCTCCGTCTGTTATTTTGTCAAGTATATGAGCTTCTCTCTGATCAGTGTATGCTGAGTGTCTGTTTATGCTAATGTAATTATAAAGCACCCTTTCCCTCTGTTTTCAGTAAACTGCAGTTGAACATTTGGCTACTGTCAGAATGTGTGAATAACAGAGGCCAGATCCTCAACTGGTGTAAATCCATCAATGGATATGCTGATTTGGATCTTGCCGCATCTCTTCCTAACAGATATTTTTGGCAGAGGCATTAGTGTAGCCTATAGGATGGTTCAGGTTAAGAAATTAGTAGAAGTTAAGTTTGGGGGCTAAATTAGCCTAAGTGTAGAGGAGGATGGGAAATTGAAGTTGCTAACGTGAGAAAAGCCAAAGAGAAGTTGGAGACAGAGTGTTATGGGAAAGTAGAAGTGAGCAAGGCTGTGACCCAAGGTTATATTACCATTATATTTTGGTTATAACTGGTTTGAGTGAAGTTTGTAGTGGGTGTTTTTGAGAATTGTGACTGTTTTATTACAATGCTAGCTTGTATTGATAGTCTGGGAAGGACATTCGTGCAGATGTTAATTTAAATAAGATGTAATGTAAACAGCCAAGAAGGTGGTGGAAATATAATTATGGTAAAGAGCAGTTTAATGTTAATTAGTGTTATAATGAGGCATAAAAGGAGTAGTTTTGCTAAATTGTGAAAGAGCTCCAATAAACATTCAAAGGGTACCGGTAGGTTCCATGATTATAAAACTCTACTTCACTCTCATCAGTGGACTGATCACCTATTGATACACCATTTCATTTTTGAGTGTGAGTATAATAGTAGCGTGTATTTAAACAGCAATTGCATGCTGTTTGCTTTACTAATAATTTTTCTTTGTAATAAAGTTTGGTTGTATAGAAGTGTTACCTAGTGGTCTTCTCCTAAATACATTTTCTGTAACCGACCTAGAGGCTTGAACTAAGTTGGGTTTTATTTGATTGCACCCTTATCTTTAACAACTGAATATTAATTGGGAACATGTCAACAGAAAGGTGTGACGATGTGACGCAGCAGGGAGGGGGGAGTGTTGACCTGGGAATGTGCCCTGGGGATGGGAGACCTGAGAGCCTGTAACCTGAGCCAGGAGGGGGAGGGGGAGGTGACACCTCTGCCCAGGAATTTGGACGGAGGCTGCAGCAGGGAACCTGCTGGGGGGGGTTAGTTTCAGTTTGGTGCTGGGTGGAGGAATGCAGGGAACCCCAGGGCTGGGGTCTAAGCTCCCTGCTCCCCCAGGACTTGACTGAGGGGTCCTGGTTGTACCCACAAGCTCTGTTTTGGACTGTGTTCCTGTTGTCCAATAAACCTTCTGTTTTACTGGCTGGCTGAGAGTCTCAGTGAATCCCAGGAAGAGGGGTGCAGGGCCTGGACTCCCCCACACTCCTTGACAATGGTTACAAAAGGTTACACTAACTTCCCTGTGCTTTTATATATGACAAAACAATTTAAAATCATCATTGAAATATAGCCTCAGGAAAACTCCTTGTGTAGTGCTTTTAATGGTTTATTTTTGTATAACTACACTGACATTTTAACTCCCTGCAATCAGTTTCTTTCACCCTAGTTTCCCAGAGCACTGTATCAATAATGGTAAACCGAGGCACACAGAGATTAAGTGACTTGTCCAAGGTAACATATAAGATGAGTGTGAGAGTCAGGAACAGATGCCAAGAGTCCTGACTCACAGACCTCTGCTCTAACCACTAGACTATACTCCCACACTTTCATCAGTGAGAAGCGTTTTCTTTTACTCAATGTACATAAATATACAACTTAAGCATTGCAATTCCTGCAAGTGTTTAGAGGGGAGATTGTTTCTGAATAACCTGAGTTTGGTGGACCCATAGTATTACCTGAATCTTGTATCTTTGGTCCAGATCCTCAAAGGTATTTAGGTGCCTATCTCCCAATGGACCTCTGAGAATCTGAGCCTTGTAAATTCCCAGTCCTTGGAGGGATTTATGAATGTTAAACAAACAGGTGTCAGGGTTAGTTTAGGGTCTTAGACACAACAAATCCTGCATCTTGGCAGGGGGATGGACTAGATCAGAGGTTCTCAGCCAGAGGTCCAGGCCCCCTAGGGGGCCACAAGCAGGTTTCAGGGGGTCCACCAAGCAGGGCCAGCATTGGACTTGGCTGGGGCTCAGGGCAGAAAGCTGAAGCCCCACCGCATGGGGCTAAAGTCTGGGGCCCCGAGCCCCGCCACCCGGGGCTGAAGCCAAAGCCTGAGCAATGTAGCTTCATGAGGGCCCCCCCTGCGGCATGGGGCCCCAGGCAGTTGCCCTGCTTGCTACCCCCTAACGCCGACCCTGTCTTTTATATGCAAAAAATCAGTTATTGTGACACAGGTGAGCCATCGAGCTTTTATAGCATGTTGGGGGGGCCTGAAAAAGAAAAACGTTGAGAACTCCTGAACTAGATGACCCTTGCGGTCCTTCTAGCCCTACAGTTCTTTGATTTCTAGGATATTCTTGAGCACCTTCTATTGACACCTTACCTATTAACAAACTATTTCTGTATGTACAGACATCTCTCTTTCACTGAGCACTTCCATTAACACGGCTTCTAAACCCCATTTTACTCACCCTGAAAAGAGTAACCAAAGCCAGAGGCTACAAATGGAATGGAGCCAGATGATTCCACAAGAGCACCCTTTTTTTCTCTTCTCCTTTGTTTCCATCTTTCACCCAGAGAAGGCTTTGAAAACAAGCTGTGAGTGTGCACGCTTCCAGAGGCCTGTGCTGTTTTGGTAGGCAATTTCTCCAAATGCCTGAGGTTTTTAAAGATGGGGGAGCTCTGAATTTTCTAAGTTCTAAGAGTTCTAAGAAGAATTAATTTTGTTCTAGTCATGGGAAATCTTCCGGTAATGACTCAATATGTTGCATATGCCTGCTCAGCAAAGCTGAAAGGAATAAACTTGTGGTTAATTTCCTTCCCATCCCAAATGTGGCATCAGTTTGATGGGACCTTGCTCTGGCCCTTTGCACAGGGGTGAATTCCACCCTGTATACCTCCGACCACTACCATTTGGACAGCTCAGATTCCATCCAAAAAAGGGCAATGAGATGCAGCCAATGCTGCAGATCTAACAAAGGACTGGTCGGGGGGCTGGGGTGGGGGGGTCAACACAAGAGAGGTGTTCATTTGCCACCAACAGTGTGACCCGAGGTGTGTGAGGCAGCCCTCACTGGACATGCCAAGTAAGGGCAGGCTGCAAAAAGGAGAGCAGATTCTCCCAAGACTGGTGAGTAACACTGAAGTTAAACTCCCCAACCCATCTGATACCCCATATCGGTTATCAAGAACCAAAAAACAAGAAAGAAATCACACAGCTCCCTTATTGCATTCCAGTTCTCTGGCTCCCAGTCAGCACATAGGTTCAGTACAGTGAGAAGTTATTTAAAAACTCTGCTCATGTATACAAAATGTTCTTCTGATCCCAAAGGGCCAGTCACATTACCAGGCCAATATTGGTTTATTGGCCAAAATACCATGCTGCCAGCCAATCCTTTAGTGTCTAAAACTGAAGGTTTATTATAACAAAAAAAGAAAGAACAATAAGGGAGTTGTCAAATGGTAAAGCAGTCACATTCATACACAGACTTCAAAGTCCATATATGAGGTTCTTAGAAGTATTGGTGAGTTTGCTGTCTTGAAAATCCCTCTGGAACACATCCACAGCTTGGGTGGATCATCCAGTCCTTTGTTCAGAGCTTCAGTTTGTAGCAAAGTTCCTCCAGAGATAAGAAGCAGGAATGAAGACAAAATGGAGATGACGCTGTAGCTGCCTTTTATATTCCTTTTGCCATGCAGCTTGTACTTTCTTTGTTCCAAACACAAGCTGTCCAGCCCATGGCAGGGAAAAACCTTAGAGTTCTGCCCATAGGCACGTCCCTGCATGCCTTGCTGAGTCACAAGGTTTAGTTAGTGGCCCTTTCAATGGGTTCATTGTACAGCTGATGTCCCTTGATGGGCCATCAAGCCTGCCTAGTGCTGGTGTCACCCAGAAACACAGCACAAGTTTGGAAATACAGATATACTATACATATCTATAATTCACAATACAAAGGTGATACAAACATATAAACAAGATTATCATACTTGGCAAATAACATTTTCACAGATACCTCACATGGCATATCTGGTCAGATTTCTTGCAGTTTTACAAAATTGGTATTCATAATATCATACAGTGTCTCCCATAGTCCATACAGCGTCACAAGCAGTATTGCCAATGTCAAGCTTTCAAAAACCATAAGCCAGGCCTCCACAAATCATGATATTTGGGGGGTTCGTTATATTTGCCTTCTGGTTCCAAGCCTTTGGGTTACTCTCATAGGCACCAACTCCATGAAAAATTAATGGATGCTTAGCACCCACCAGCAGCCAAGCTCCCACCTCTCCCTCCACTCTGCAGCGCTTCTCTCCCCTGCCGGTGGCCCCGCTGATCTCTCCTCCCCATCCCTCCCAGCACCTCCCATCCGCCATGAACAGATGTTTCGCTGCGTGCAGGTCGGCTCTCGGGGGGGGGGGAGCCAGGAAGAGGTGGGGCGGGGAAGGGAGGGCTTGGGGAAGGGGTGAAGTGGGGGGCGGGACGGGAAGAGGCAGGGTGGGGGTTTGGGGGAAGGGGTGGAGGGAGGGCGGGGCCTGGGGAAGAGGGGATGGGTAGAGGGGAACTCGGTGCCTATGGTTACTCTTGTTTCATGTTTTCCAGCTTTTCTCAACAGCCGCAAGGACTAGAAACTTCCTTTTCTTTTATATGAAAGCTGATATTCCCATGGAAACTCATGACTCCAGGAGCTGGAACTTTAAGAAAAACACCAAGTATCATGACTCACGATAAAATTGTGAGTTGGCGACTCTCTTGGGAACATTGATGGAGGTGAGTCAAGGGAAGACAATCCTTTTTCCCCAGTCCTCTTTCTCCCATTTGTCTCTGTAGACTTGTGAGTTCCGCATCCCATTCTCGGCAAGCTCTTTATTTTTCATACACTTCCCCTCCAATGTCGCAGTTGTGCTGTTCTCTTCCCCTAGATATTTATATGGGAAGGGAAATCCAGCCTCCGCCCCACATCCTTCCCAGATCAACACACAATAGAAAAAAAAGGATGGTATAGTGGTTAGGGCACTGACTAGATGGACACATAGGAGATCTGGGATCAGTTTGCTGCTCTGCCTCAGAGTCCCTGTCTGACCTTGGGCAAGTCACTTAGCCTCCCCGTGCCTGTTTCCCCATCTGTACAATTCCCTACCTCACAGAGTGTTGAGAGGATAAAGACCTTAAAAATCAAGAGGTGCTCAGCTACTACAGTTATGGGAGCCATACAAGTCCCTAAGACTAATACAGTCAGTGTGGTGTCCCTGCAGCTTTTTACTTTTATCACCTAAACCTTTTGTTTTGCAAAAGAAACTTCTCCTTTAACAGAGATTTCTTTCAGAATTGAGGCCCACTTCAGAAAAATGTGGCCATTTGCACCATGTTAGTCGTCCCATCTCAAAAAAGATATATTGGAATTGGAAAAGGTTCAGAAAACAGCAACAAAAATTATCAGGGCTATGGAGCAGCTTCTATACGAGGAGAAATTAATAAGACTGGAACTTTTCAGCTTGGAAAAGAGACAACAAAGGGGGGATATGATTGAGGTCTATAAAATCATGAGTGGTGTGGGGAAAGTAAATAAGGAAGCATTATTTACTCCTTCTCATAACACAAGAACTAGGGGTCACCAGATGAAAGTAATGGGCAGAAGGTTTAAAGCAAACCAAAGGAAGTATTTCGTCACCCAACGCACAGTCAACCTGTGGAACTCCTTGCCAGAGGATGTTGTGAAGGCCAAGACTATAACAGGGTTAAAAAAAGAACTAGATAAGTTCATGGAGGATAGGTCCATCAATGGCTATTAGTCAGGATGGGCAGGGATGCAAAACCATCTAATTGTCTCTAGCCTCTGTTTGCCAGAAGCTGGGAATGGGTGACAGGGGATGGGTCACTTGATGAGTCCTGGCCTTAGGAAGGAAGAATCCTATGCACCACTACAGGCTGGGGACCAACTGGCTAAGCAGAAGTTCTGCAGAAAAGGACCTGGGGATTACAGTGGATGAGAAGCTGGATATGAGTCAGCAGTGTGCCCTTGTTGCCAAGAAGGCCAACAGGTATTAGTAGGATCGTTGCCAGAAGATGGAGGGAAGTGATGGGCTGAGGCACATGACTTACGAGAAGAGGCTGAGGGAACTGGGGTTATTTAGTCTGCAGAAGAGAAGAGTGGGGGGGATTTGATAGCAGCCTTCAACTACCTGAAAGGGGGTTCCAAAGAGGATGGAGCTTGGCTGTTCTCAGTGGTGGCAGATGACAGAACAAAAAGCAATGGTCTCAAGTTGCAGTTGGGGAGGTCTAGGTTGGATATTAGGAAACACTATTTCACTAGGAGAGTGGCGAAGCACTGGAATGGGTTACCTAGGGAGGTGGTGGAATCTCCATCCTTAGAGGTTTTTAAGGCCCAGCTTGACAAAGCCCTGGCTGGGATGATTTAGTTGTTGTTGGTCCTGCCTTGAGCAGGGGGTTTGATTAGATGACCTCCTGAGGTCTCTTCCAACCCTAATATTCTATGATTCTATGTCTACCTGTTCTGTTTATACTCTCTGAAGCACCTGGCATTGGCCACTGTTGAAAGACAGGATACTGGGCTAGATGGACTATTGGTCTGATCCAATATGGCCATTCTTATGTTCTTTTGCACCTCTTCCCCAAAAAGGAGAATTCCCAGTCCAAAGACTTATGGATAGCCCCATGCTAGCTCTAGTAAATTACATGTCCGATACATGTCCAGAAAGTCTGGGAATTGTAGATTCTTAACAATTTGTCTTTCTGGCATCCTGCTGGAATGTTGAATTCAACCCCTCTCCACTATAAATCACCATTCTTGAGACCCCAGACTGCAGCCGTCATCTCTTTGGGCACAAAGGATGGATGAGAAAAGTCCTTGGAGCCCAGAAAAGGCCCTCTTTCGTCAGTTTTATGTAATGGTGGAAACATTGCTACAGTCTTTCAGCTAGGGATCTAGAATTCATGCCTGATTCACCTCCTCCCAATTCCTGGGCAATGGATGAGCTGAACATGCATTAAATCTGCAAATCATGTTAGGCCAGGAGATGTTAGGAACCCCAGTGAAGGCAGAGAAATAAGATAAAGGGAGTTAGTGAGGTTAGAAATATGAGCCAATATGAGCAATTAAGTGGAATCTGACCTAGAACAATGCAAGCAGATACATCTGGGGGGATAATTCCCCAAGCTATGGCACCCAACTGGTGCGTGGATTGCCTTGCTCCCCATAATGCTCCTGTATTTTGCAGTAGACTTCACAGGCGCCAACTTTCCAATGTACCGGGGGATGCTCGACCCCTGGCTCTGCCTCAGGCACTGCCCCCACTCCACCCCTTCCTCCAAGGCCCCACCCTGCCCTGCTTCTTCCCTCCCCCGCTCCATCCTCGCCCCCTCTCCATCCTCGCCCCTCCTCTTCCCGCCCCGTTCCACCTCCTCCCCCCAGCGCACCATGGCCTCACTCCTCCCCCTCCCTCCCAAAGCCTCCTGCATGCCTCAAAACGTCTGATCATGACAGACGGGAGGCCTGGGGAGGGAGGGGAAGGCGCTGATCAGCGGGGCTTGCTGGTGGGCGGCAAACACTGGGAGTCAGGGAGGAACTGGGGGGGGGCTGCCAGTGGGTGCTCAGCACCCACCATTTTTCCCCTGTGGGTGCTCCAGCCCCAGAGCACCCAGGGAGTCGGCGCCTATGGTAGACTTGAACATTTTAACTGGGTTCCTCTGTGTGTGCGTTTCAAACAGCTCAGCTCAGCTTCCAAGGCTGCATGAGATTAGAATCTCTGCCGGGCTTTCAAAAGAGTCAATCTCAGAAACTAGTCTAGCATCATTGTTTCCATGGGGAAGCAGTAATGCATGACACATAGTACAATGATGAGCCCCCACATGCTCCCATGTCTCTGGCACTGCTCTCTTTCCAGGGGGGAGTGAGGTACCAAGGCACAGAAAGGGGCAGCTTGGGCAGCTCTCAACCACCTAACCCAGGGGTTCTCAAACTGGGGGTCGGGACTCCTCAGGGGGTCGCAAGGTTATTACATGGGGGGTCGCGAGCTGTCAGCCTCCACCCCCAGCCCCGCTTTGCCTCCAGCATTTATAATGGTGTTAAATACATAAAAAAGTGTTTCTAATTTATAAGGGGGGGGGTCGCACTCAGAGGCTTGCTGTGTGGAAGGGGTCACCAGGACAAAAGTTTGAGAACCACTGAAACAGAATGGCTTGCTGGGCCTGTGCAGTGTAATGTGGAAATAACACCACTAGGTGGAGCATGTAGTGTTTCTGAAGCCATGTTGGTCCCAGGCTATCAGAGAGACAAGGTGGGGGAGGGAATATCTTTTATCTGACCAACTCCTTGTGGTGAGAGAGACAAGCTTTTGAGCTTACACTGAGCTCTTCTTTAAGTCTGGCGAAGGTACTCAGAGTGTCACAGCTAAATACAAGATGGAACAGATTGTTTAGCATAAGTAGTTAGCACATATTTTAAGAGACCATTCAAGGTGAAGTGGCCCATTACCGCTCCTCCAGTCACAGGAAGGAAGAGGGGGAGGGAACAATGGGTGGGGGCGTTAGTGGGTTGTTAGAATAAGCCATAAATCCAGTGTCTCTATTCAGACCATGTGTCAGGGTTCTGCCCCAACTCTGAACTCTGGGGTACAGATGTGGGGACCCGCATGAAAGACCTCCAAAGATTATATTCTACCAGTTTAGGTTAAAACTTCCCCAAGGCACAAACTCCTTTTCTTGTCCTTGGATGGTATTACTGCCACCACCAAGTGATTTACACAAAAATTCAGGGAAAGGTCACTTGGAATCCCTATTCCCTCAAAATATCCCCCCAAGCCCTTTCACCCCCTTTCCTGGGGAGGCTTGAGAATAATATACCAACTAATTGCCTTAGTAATGTGAGCACAGACCAGAACCTTTGTCTTCAGGACAATGAAATCAATCAGGTTCTTAAAAGAAGAACTTTATTATAAAGAAAAAAGTAAAAGAATCACACCTGCAAAATCAGGATGGAAGGTAACTTTACAGGGTAATAAAAAGATTTAAAATACAGAGGATTCCCCTTTTGGCTCAGCTTCATAGTTACAAAAACAAGAATAACACTACCTCTGTAGCACAGGAAAATTCACAAGCTAAAACAAAAGATAACCTAATGCATTTCCTTGCCCTACTTACAATTTCTGTGAGTTTAGATGGATTATTCCAGGTATATTTTCAGGAGATGTTGTACCTGCTTGACTTCTCCCTCCATCCGGAGAGGGAACAATGAAAGAGAGCAACAAACAAATCTTTCCCCCCCCAGATTTGAAAGTATCTTCTTCCCTCATTGGTCCTTCTGGTTAGGTGCCAACTAGGTTACTGGAACAGTTTAACCCCTTACAGGTAAAGCAATCCAGGACAGCTGCCAAGGAGGGATTTTATGCTACTGTATACATAAAGGTTGCTACCCTTCCACCTGTATTTATGACACCATGTTTTTTAGTGTCTAGCAAACTTATGAATGTAAGCTTCCAGGCTCATCTTTTGAAAGTGTGGTGCAGGTTTCCTTCAAGGATGAGGATTGATAGGTCAGATATAGAGGGATCGCTCTGTGAAAAGTGTTCACCCACAGGTGATATGGTGTTTTTGTCTTTTTGTCATTTTCCTGTGCGAGTTCAGCTGAGAGTGTAGTGAATTGATTGTCTGATTTCACCCTCATAAATTGATCTGCTAGTTTCAGAAATTTATACGCCAGGATGAGTCTAATTTAAAAACATTAGCTGTCTAGACAAGTAATTTGAGGCCACATTACATCCCAGATGAGGAGGCCAGAGGGACAAGAAAACTCCACAGGATTCACCTTACAGATTTCCCTGCCAGTTGTCCATTCAAGGGGGAAGTGTTTGGAGGGGCCCTGAATGGGTATGAATAAGGCAGAATTAGCAGGAAGTGGTTGCGTAGTATGTCTCCCAACTTTGTCTCCAAAACTCATTAGAGCACTTTCCACAGGAGATATCTACATGTTTCTAGGCAGGAAAAGGATGTTGCTATGGAGAGACAAACTTCTTCCCCTTCCAAGCAGGCATGTTGGGATCTGCACATAGAGGACCCACACACATGTAGATCTCTAGGAGATGATCTAGGCTAGTGTTTCCATGGGCACTGGTCCCTGAGATCTCCCTGACACAGTTTAGGAAGGCGGCAAGCTGGTCCCTGGTATCAAAAAGGTTCAGAAACACTGATCTAGGCCACAGTCTTTCCCTGGGGAGCCCTTAGGGACCATTGTTGTTCAGGAAGGCAGGTGGGGTCCCCTGCATCGTGATGTTGTTATATGGTGAGTGGTCTCTGCCTCCTGGAGCCCACTACCCAGCTGCTGCTGCTTCACTATCTGGAGTCAGACTAACAAGCCATTTTTACAAAGAAAAATCAATAGCCACATTATTACAGAGACCAAAAAGTCATGCATGATACAGACAAATCACATGGTAGGGAGTCCTCTATTGCATTTTGGCCAAATGATGACTGACTATTGGGAGGAGAGAACTATTGACAAGTATTTGAAGGGTGTTGTGGCACTCTACACCCCAGGGGAATGCCCTGTAACCTCCATATTCATCATTTGTATATAATTGAGATGTTGCACATAAAGCATGCCTTGTAAGGTATCATGGGAAAGGTTATGATCTCCTGAAACCCACTGTTCCATCTAAATATGTATATCATTAATGCATATGAAGTTATGAGAATCATGTTGTATGATTGTCACTAAAATATGCTGTGGGTGGGGAGCGGTTCCCCTGCGCCCCCCCGGGTTACTTGCTGCGGCGCGGGCTGCCCTCCTCGTGTCCCCCTGCCCCAGCTCACCTCCGCCTCCCTGGGCCTGAGCGGGAAGCCGCGGCCTGCTTCTCAGCCCGCCCCAGCTTCCCCCGCAAACAGCTGATTCGCGGGAAGACGGGTGGGGGGCGGAGAAGCAGAGCGGGGCGGTGTGTTCAGGGGAGGAGGTGGAGGCGAGCTGGGGCTTGGGGTGGGGCGGGGAGCTGCTGGTGGGTGCTCTGCACCCACCAAATTTTCCCCTTGGGTGCTCTGACACAGGCAAACATGAGTGACAGACAGCTGGGGCCTGTCCCCATCAGTCCTGTTCCAACTCAGCAACTCATGGAATCAGACTCATTGCCTAATCCAGGGGTGGGACCCAACAAGAGGAAATTCACAGCCCAGTTTATCACCACCCTTCCCTTCTTATGCTTGGAGACCCCACAAATCAGAAGACCCCTCCTGTCACTGAGATCACGGGGGACATTACACTGGGTATAGTCAGTGCTGAGTGACATAAGTAGGATGCAAAAGTAACAGCAGGAGGTGACTGTAACTAGTGATGCTTCTTGGCTTAAGCAGGTACAATACTGATTTGCACTAGTTGCTTTAAAGCTCTCTCACAGGTTCTTAGGATACGTAGGAGAGGGCCTCATAAAGGGAGTCATCATTGGCTAAGGAACAAATGCATCCAGTAAAGCCATACTGTTCTCTGCAAAAACAACTTCCAAACAACTATAAAGAGGAATGGCATCTTGATGAAGCGAAAAATAGGATAGGAATGAATAAAACAGAAACCATACTTGGCCAAGAGAATTGTTTTTGTTAACAAATCTAAAGCAGAGCACATTTCTCTCCCAACAGGACTGCAAGTGGTTTCCTTTGCAAATTCCTGATCACTTCGGATTACATCTACTTGGGCTGTCTTGTAAATAACATTTCTCCAGGAGTCCCGGTACAATTTATAAAAACAACAAGGAGCCCAATGGCACCTTAAAGACTAACAGATTTATTTGGGCATAAGCTTTCATGGGTAAAAACCCCCACTTCTTCAGATGCATGGAGTGAAAATTATGAAGAAGTGGGTTTTTTTACCCATGAAAGCTAATGCCCAAATAAATCTGTTAGTCTTTAAGGTGCCACCAGACTCCTCATTCTTTTTAGGGATACAGACTAACATGGCTATCCCTCTGATACTTTATGGCTCTGAAGTTTCTCAATCCACTCCTAGACTTCACAGAGCATAACCTGATATGCTTTAGTCACACTTACCATAATTGGGCTCAATACAGGAATAACTGGATGAAATTCTAGGGTCTACGATGCAGGAGGTCAGAGCAGATGATTTAATGGTCCCTTCTGGCCTTAAAATCTGTGAAACTAAACACTGACTAAATGAAAACTATTACCATTAATATTACCCAGTGTTGTTTTGTTATTCACCAACAACTTAATTACCCAGGAATTGCTATCTCCTGATTCACTGATTTTGTCTTTACCCAGACCCTATTGGGATTTTGTCTATTCCAGTTCACAGGCATGGGCAGTATTTTTTCAAGACCTTAATCTAAAACCTTTAGCCACATGTTCTTTGCAAAATATAAAGAATAGCTGAAATCAAGTTATTTCTATCCTAACCTTTGGCACTGGGAAGATTTCTCTGAAATGCATGTCAGATTCTGTTTGCATCTTGAATAGCCTAGGGGCTTATTTCAGAAATGCCTCTTGTCCCTGTGCCTAAATCAGATATCTTCTTTCAAAAACGACTCGACTTTAGTAGGAAAACAGACAATAAAATCCATTGTTTACTCAGGATGTTTCATTGTAAAAGGCTTTTCAAGCTGAGGTGAAATAGGGGAATTCAGTTGCCTTTGTTTGCTGAAGCATGGTACAGTGGGTAGAGCAGGAGACTGGGAATCAGATATGGGTTTTATTCTTGGTTTTACCAGAGGGTTCCTGTGTGAACTTGGGCAGGTTACTTAACCCCACTCTGCCTTCATTTTCCCATCTGTAAAACGTGGAGAAGGAAGTGGCCCCTTGATTTCTGAGGAAGGTGGATTGGTGAAGGCATTTTCTCCGGTGCTCTGCATTGACAGCCAGTCAACTCCCAGGTGCTACTCAACCTTCATCTACAAAGCCCTGGGGACCTAGAGCTCAGCTATCTTAGGATCACTTCTGTCATCATGTCACCTGAATCAAGTTAATTGTCCCGTGGGCAAGATCCAAGTTCCTGGTGACTGGCCCTGCCCTTTGCAATTTGTTCCTGTCTGAAATACATCTAAGCCTAAGCCTGGTCACACTGAGAAATGCTGTGGGATCCTCTCCTTTGCCCAGGTTTTTCACTAACTGATGGCTCCATCCTTAGCGGTTAGTCCACCAGCAAGGTTTTCCTCATCGCTGCTGTCTCAGATCGCGACGTAGAGGATTTGGGGATATGTGGAAAATGCTAGAGGCTCCCAGATTGTGAGCCAAGGCCTGTAGCAAGCACTGCAGCTTGGACTAAGCGGCATACAAGTGTGCCTGAGGGGCAGCTGTGAGGGTCTGCCAGCTCGCTGTTCGGAAGGGGGCTAGGCTGCTCCAAAATTCAAGCCCCTTCTACATTGGCAGGGAAATGACGGTAGATGGCACTATTAGCTCTCCTGCTCCCTGATCCCCACCTCCTTTCACTAGGATGAGAACAGGAGGCCAGCAGTGGCAACTGCCATGTTTGCAGGCACCTGGGCCACACTAACTTGAGTGCCTCCACTGACTCTCCTGGTCTTAGAGCAGTGGGTGACCTCTGGGGTTCTCAGGTTGATGGCCCCTGCTGGCTACCTCCTCCTACATGCTTGACCCACCCATCCTTGTTGCTTCCTTCACGTTTCCTCTCAGTTGACCCATTTCTTTATGGTTCTCTCCATTCTGTCTGAGTGGTGGCCTGGGCCATTGGCGTCTCTTGGACAAAGGCACCTCCAGAGGGGTCCTGCAGACAGAAATCCCTAGGAACAGCCAAGCTCAGAAAGGAGTGTAGGTTGAAGTTTGCTCGTTACTTGGTTAAAAGGAAATGCTAGGAAGAAGGTAATCTGAACTATAGTCTGTGAGTGTGCTGTCTGGAGCAGAGGGGGAACACCAGTTGCTTACAGTAAAGTAGAGAGATGATGCACCCAGTCTGATTAATTCTATAGAAATGCCATGCACATGCTGGCAAAATGAAGTAGCCATGAAGAAAAATCAATATGCCCCTCTCTTCTGACCTCCCTCTGTCCCACTCCTCCTTATAATAGCAACGACAGTTGTGGTGCATGACATCTCCAGAGGATTAATTACTGGTTGCACCTCAGCCCTGGGCTCTTCCCAGGCATTAACCTCAGGGAATACCCTTTGTTCTGACTGTTGCTGCTTCAAGTGGCACAATGAACTTGAAATCTAGTCAAAAATGAGTTAAGAAGTGTCCTGACTCCCCCGCCAATCATTGTGGCATTACGGACATATTTTCCGGCTATTTAAAATGCTTTCCTCTCCTCTGTTGTTGTGGGAAGGACTCATCCAAATATCAGCGGAAACTAAGGCTATGTCTACACTACGGACCTTACAGCAGCACGGTTGTCCTGCTGCAGCTTCACTGCTGCGAGGTCTCCTGTGTAGCCACTCTATGCCGATGGGAGGGAGTAGCTATGTTGGTGGAAAAGCATCTCCCACTGACATAGCGCTGTCCAAACCGGCGCTTTTATCGGTGAAACTTATGTTGCTCAGGGGTGTGTTTTTTCACTGACAAAGCTGAGTGTGTGCCTCTAACTAGTACCTTACAAGTGTTTCAGTAATGCAGTTTAAAAGAATCAATAGGTCAAAACGCATGGGTGAGAGGGACTATATTTTAAGATGTATTTACACAACCATTTGCATGTACAGACCCAGAAATTCCTTGTGATGTAGTGTGATATAAAGATTTTATTAGCTTGTGTTTAGGAGGGGCACATTGCATACAAAGTCATGAAAGTTATGAAAGTCATCCCAAGAAAGTACCAGTTGAACCTTTATTCCATGCCACAGCATCATACATATTGTCCCTGTCATGTATGCCACAGAAAGAACTATCTGAGAGTTTCAAAGATGTTATTGAGATTCTTTTATCCCTTTGCCTGAAAAACCAGGTTCCTTAGTTACCCTGAGTCCAACTGTAGGGGGTTCAGAGAGAGGAATAAAAATCCTCTAAAAATGATTTTTACAGGTAACAGTGAGATGTGAAAGGTCAATATCTTTTAGCCCCACAAGGTTAAAGGCTAGTAGTGCTGTGGCCCCCATTGGGAAGCAGTGCATCTCTCCTCCCCAGTGGGAGGATAAAGCTCTTTCTTCTCGTCTTTCTGCAGGGCTGTATAGCATTAGACTTTAAAGTTGTGACACTTTAATGTCTCGAAAACATGGCCACTGTCCATGGTTGACTCTTGCTCAGCCAGGACCTCAGGCAGGTGTAATTCAGGGAGATAGGGAACATTTCCCTGGCAGGTTGATTTTAAAACATGTTGGCTGTTTGAAGCTGCCCAAGGGAGTGGACTGTTAGAATAAGTCCTGGGGGAGAGGGGTTAGTAGGCAGAATGTGGGTGAAACCATCAAAAATCCATGATGAATTCATTTGTCACATGGCTCTAAATTGTAACGCCTGGGTATCACTGCTTTTCATGTGATGTGTGTGTGTACAGAGCTAGGATGAGTGAAATAATGCTCAACTATTCATCTGATCACAGTGTGCTTTGTAAACAATACTTTACGCACAACAGTTCAGTGAGGTAGTAGAAAATGCCCCATTTTCCTGACAGGAAATTTAGGGCACCAAGAGGTTAAGTAACTTGCCCAAGGTCGCAGGATAAGTCAGTGACAGAGCTGGGAACAGACTCCAGGGGCCCTGCAGGGTACAATTCCAACTGACTTCCAGGAAGAAGAGGCCTAACTCCCAGTCTGTCCCCCCACTTTGGCCCATCCACACACTGCCTACTATCCAATAGTAGTAATAAAATAATACCACCATACAGTGCTATGCCAGCTTATTTAATGAGACAAAGTATAGGACCACATGATTCATGGTTATGGGGAGCAACTCTCTCTCTCCCTCCCTCCATGCAGCAGTGCTGAATACTCTCAGTTTGCAAATTGCTTTAACAGTCTCTTCCTTGGAAACCCCAAGGCATCCAAAGAATCATAAAGCCTAGTTCAGTACTAAATTACATTCAGTTAAAAGCAGGCTCCAGGAAGCTGTCATTCCGCAACAGGGGAGAAAACCTCCATTCCCAAGGGCCAAAGCATGAAAATAAATATTCCAAATCAAGACTCTAGCGCAAAGGAGGCACATGTGAAATTGATTCAGCCACATTGGAGGAATATGCAGTAAGGCTGAAAGAAAAGGAGGACTTGTGGCACCTTAGAGACTAACAAATTTATTTGAGCATAAGCTTTCGTGAGCTACAGCTCACTTCATCGGATGCATGCAGTGGAAAATACAGTGGGGAGATTTTATATACACAGAGAACATGAAACAATGGGTGTTACCATACACACTGTAATGAGAGTGATCAGGTAAGGTGAGCTATTACCAGCGGGAGAGAAAAAAAACCAAAACCTTTTGTAGTGATAATCAAGGTGGGCCATTTCCAGCAGTTGACAAGAACGTGTGAGAAACAGTGTGTGTGTTGGGGGGGGGGGGGAAATAAACATGGGGAAATAGTTTTACTTTGTGTAATGACCCATCCACTCCCAGTCTTTATTCAAGCCTAATGTAATGGTGTCCAGTTTGCAAATTAATTCCAATTCAGCAGTCTCTCGTTGGAGTCTGTTTCTGAAGTTTTTTTGTTGAACAATTGTGACTTTTAGGTCTGTAATCGAGTGACCAGAGAGATTGAAGTGTTCTCTGACTAACCCGGCCAATTGGAGTGCGGAGCTGGTGTTTGGGTTGGGGGCAGTGTGCAGAACCCCGTGGCCTGCCTGCCTGGGAGCCGGACCTGTTGGCTGCTTCCAGGGCACAGTATGGTG